CATTCAAAAACAAATGGTGGCATATCCATGAACCAACTAAAAGAGACCCGGAAGTTGTGGCAGCCTAACCTGAAGCCATTCTACGATGTCCTCTCCAAGAAATATTGGTCTGTTCAGCGTCAGAGACCTGCTGGCGATTAAGATTCTCTCTTGAAGGTCTCAGACCCGGTGAAGAGGCCCGCCGTACTAGGCTAGCTGTCGCGGGAGTCCGAGTCCCTGCAGTTAGCGAAGCAGTGAGAACATCGGCAAGGTGGACATTCGAATCAGGTGGACCATTGGCAATAAGACAATGATGTGACTGTCGGCGTCGATTGAGTAAGCGTAGTATAGGCAAGAAGAGTCGACCGACCAGACCTATTGGGAAGAGAATAAGCACACGAGTCAAGCGGCGTAGCAGTAAAGAAATGGTTCCGAGAGGGGAAGAGGCCGAACGACGCGTAATCCAGAAGAAGATCGCTTCTAAATAGATTGATGACACACAGTGTGGAGCACCGAGAACAGGAGCAGCGGAAAAATCTAAGAGGCGCAAAGCAAGAGCAGAAGGGAAATGAGAGAAAGAGACATTAGGAAGAGATATTAGTTATTCTTCGCCTATAAGTAGGGCTTATATTTAAATAATTGTGGGAAAATTCAACCTCAAATCACCTCAAACGAAATAGGGTGAATAGATCTCATATAGCGATATTAATTGTCTGATTGTAGCAATTAATTTAAGCCAAGATAAAGGAAATCTTCGTTCAATAAATAATGAAATACAAAAAGAAATCTTACTTTGGTTTCAAACTTTAAAAGCCAGAGACCCGACTATAAAAGTATATCTCTGACTGAGTTATGATGTCGTTTATAAATAAAAGCTGCGCTTTGAAGAATCCTTTAATAATTTTGTCACTTGATTTTTTAAAATTAGAAAAGGATTCGTAAATTAGCCCCACCATAAATCAAAGTCTGTCCTTGGAGTTGTTATCGCTGATTTGTATGAATAAGTACCCAGCGCGTAGTTCTACGATCTCGATCCATCTGAGATGAGCTTCCGTCTGTCATGTGACAGCCATTCACTAGCCAAAATTTGACAAGCAATGGGTAAATAATCATGAAAGGCTGTATTCTCACACGTTAGACATAATTTTGCGGTTTAATTAAGGCATCATAGGGCTTGATTTGCAATCTCATGCTTAAAATGTTTGCAAATGAACGTGGATGACGCATGGAGTAGATGTGGCCCCAGAACTAGTTGTTTGCATAAATAAACTAGTTTGATCCTTTAATGTTGACGCTCGTTTAGGTGTGTAGTTGCGTTTGCATTGCATGTATACAATGCAATTAATTTAATTGAACCAAAATCAGACTCCAAATTAATAAAGCCTCCTCTCAATTAGTAATATGTCCCGCTAGCCAAAGGTAGTTCCACCTAATCTTCTACACGCATTGCTCATATATAGTGTGTTGGCTGTTTTATTAACTAATGTAGAATCACCACTATTTCGCTGATTCAATATTACGAAAGTGGCCATATGTTCAACTATTTATGAACTCTGGACTCAAATTATTACAGTGATTTCTAGGTTTAAATAACGTCTCGAGTATGGCTAGACAAGTCTCTTCAGCAGAAGCGCTAAAGCATGAGCACAAAACCCACTGACAGTCAAATCAAGACAGAGGACTGGCAAATTCCCGAAAAGAAGGCATACGTTTAAACATGGACCTAGTGTCCGACTCCCTTAACTCATATTTTTTCAAAAGCTGACAGGACGGTAGCATCAGGGACTTAGTAAGGCTTTTTCATTGAACTATGCATTAAATAGCCTTTCCTCCAGAGAATAATTCTTTGTAAGTTCTAATTTCATGGTCCTGATGAGTAACGCCTACAAGATGCATACTTGCGGATTTGCGAGTTATCATAAGCTTTGAAAAGGTAATATATAGCATTCAAATAATTAGAAGAAATTAATTAAATTAGGCACAATTTCACATGTACAAATGTATCTCTAAAGATAAGTGTATTACCATTGGTCGACTCGTGAGCCGGTAGAGAAGATGAACCAAGGGCAACCTCATTATGATCATCATCATTAGAAAAGACAGGCTCATTGACAAGAGATGGAGATTGAAGGGTGCAGAGAGAGGATACGTTGCGACCAGAAGAACCAGAGGACAAAAGTACCAGCTGATCTGCCCTACAGTCGAGACAACAGGAATTAGGATCAATAAACGAGTAGGCATTGGCATGGTGAAGATCGGTCAACTAGTGTTGATTGAGGAGGTATAGTAAGGGAGTGCGAAGAAGGAGAATGAATATACAAATAGTTTGTTTAAATCAAATTAATGTTATAAAAAAATAAGAAAAGCTTGCATGTTAAGTTCAAAATCACGTCCAGTTGTTAGTGGCACAAGCAGCAACCATGTATCAGACAGTTCAAGGCCAACACAAATATGTTATAGGATTGAAGCGAATAACAGCAAAGCTCCATTAATTTGGCTAAAACATGATTTTAACTGGAACCAAGGCCAGGCTATAGTAGGAATCAATGATAGATGCGCGAAGATATAAAAAAATATTGATGTGAGAGTACCTTTCATTTATTTTCGTATGAGATCCTTCTTTCTGTTGCCTTCCAATTGATCTCGTGTCCTGTCTGTGCGATGTGTTCCGCTAGTTCTGATCTTTCAGTATCCATTTTCCTACAGAGCCTCTGATGTTTCTTGATTCTAATGCTAATTTTTCTCCCTGTTTCATCAATATATTTCTGTTCGCAGGAGCCGCATGATATACAGTAAACTCCTGAACAATCCAATTTATCTACCAGTCCTTCATCACCTTAAACGAAATAGGGTGAATACCTCTTATATTACCTTTCATTTAGTTTGAAGAGACGAATGGAAGGAATTCGTACTATAGGTCATCGATGCACCGCCCTGCGACCCGATAAATCCTCGCTTAGCTCTCGTCTGTCATGCGACGGACATTGTCAGAGCAGGACATCATGCTTAACGATAATCCACCAAAATAAGATGGAGGGAAATACATATTTGGGGCTAGATAAAAAGTTAGACCACTATACTAGAATCATTATGCTGCCATCGTGTAATCTG